CATTTAAAAAAAATTAACGATTCTAATTGAATTGAATTAGAACTTTCTTCATCTTCATTTAATAAATCACTGACAATAAAAAAACTCGTCAAGATCCATCACAATTTACATGTAATTACAGTGCTACAAATGTAAAGGAAGAAAAAAAGAAAGGAAACGATTTTTCCAGGCGGTCGATTCTTTTGGTGCGGATATGTGTACGAGGTCTCCTTGACTTTGATTTATTCGACTCTGATAAGTGTGCGTTCACCTTATATTAGAAGCCATGATCGTTCTATGGTTTCCCGCAGTTACCTCTTACGAAACCAGCGGGAGTAAATCTTGTGACATATTGTCTTACTCGTACACCATCATCATGCGATTAACAAAAGAGTAGATATTGAAATTATTAGATTATTCAAACCGACGAAATAACGTTTATTTTGTAAATCTCATTTGTAGACCTTTAGTAATGTTGCGAACAGTATCTATAGAAAGATGTGGTATATGTGAAATTCCTAAAAATTACTAGGAATATGTGTTGTACACTTTATGATATTTATTTCTATGTTAATATAGAAGAAATCATTTTACATTAAGTAAATACGTATTAACACTTTGTTGTGAAAAAGTACAACCAAAGTTACATTTTAAAATATTTAGTCGGTATAAACAGTTTCCAAGAACTTGAAGTACTATTACAAAGCACAGTTAACAATTTATATTATCTTTTCATATACACAATAAATATTTTTTGCACTAAATGATACTTAATCTATTTACATAGCAGAATTCATTGTGCAAGTTTCTATGTAGTAGTATTTTAAGAATTTCTGGGTTTTATCTGTTGCGTTTGTCTTTATTATATTTCACCAAGAGAAGAAGTGCATAGGAATGTCGGACAAAGATTTTACAATTACAATTTAATATTTAATACAGCTACGCTTTTTCATTAAATAAAACATTAAATTGCCTTAACAGTGTATTTAATCTGGGGCCTGTAATTAGGCATTTAAAGCGAATAACGTTGGTAGGATTACTTGCTATAAAAATGTCTATTTATAACCCGACAATTAAAATATTACGTATAATATATAGCTTTAAACAAGGCTAATGCTTTACTTTAAAATTTTGAATCAAAAATTTATAATATTTATAATTATTTTATTGTATTCTGGTGTAATTATACTATTCCATATTCTACTATCTCATACAGATAATTTATTATGTCATAATGGATAATGATTTGCATAAACTGTCTGAGGATAGGTATATTTAATCTTTAAAAAAACGGTATGTAGTTTTCCCCATTTCAATGAATATTGGAATTTAATTGCATACTCGTACTATGTAAAATACAAACAAAATACAAAAACTTTACAAATAAATAACTTATTATAATAACACTATGCGTGTTGAATTGTAACGTGACTAAGGTTGAGTTTATAATGGTTTTGTCGTGTTTTAAGTAAACCCTTGTCACGCAGGTATAATCGACAATAGTTGTTAAGAACGCGCTGATGTTAATTTGTAACGAAATAAAATTAATAATTCAACTGTTATACGAGTCTACCAGCAGACCTTTCACTATTGAGTAATGTGAATAGCTCTTATACTATTTGTATTGCATGTCCTACTGATCTCATATTATAAAAAACACAAAAGAGAATTATTATTAACTCACCACATTCCAAATCGTTATTGTTTGGATGTATACAAATGTACAAATTTTAGTTAGCGCAATTTTTGTGACTTGTGTTACTTTAACCAAGATTATTCTTTATGATTAATAAAACTTTACCTTGGTGATAGTTAAAATTTAAGTAAAATGATCGTAGTGTATATGAATGCGAAGTAGCTTTTGTATGTTGTTGTTAAATCTACTTAATAATTTTGTAACAACTTTTTATACACTCTTTTTAACCTTTCCTAGCACTAGGAGATGTAAATTTGCAGTTTGTGTTTATTAAACATAACATGATATTGCTTTACAATGGCGTAGCATGGACTGCTATAGCCCGGGGCAGTTGTTGGAGCTAAAAACGCCTCCCTAACCTTCTCCCCTAAATATCGAAGTATTTTCAAAAAAGTGTAAATTTGTACAAGTCTTCTACAGACTGTGTAAATGATTTAGAAATGAGTATAACTTTAAACTTTCAAAACTTTCAATGCCAGGTGCTTGTAATATTTTTACCAAAAATATTCAATAATTAGCTAATTTTCAGTTTTGTTAATTTCGGACCCCCCCCCCCCCCCTTACCCTCATCCACGCTACGCCACTGTTGCCTACGATTATTACGATTTAAGAAGCCACGAGTTATTTATAAAACGATACAATAGAGTTTAATATAAAATTTTTGTATCTTGCCTCAGTGATAATAAAATATTACACATTGTTAAATTTATTTATATGTATATAAGTACATTAGTAAATTTTCTTATTTCTCCTTCATTATTGTCTTTTTTATTATTGTTATTTGAATTATCCAATTATGAAAATACTAATAATATTGTATTTTCATAATTGGATAATAAAAATAATATGATGTATATTTAGGATAATTATTATGCATGATATATTTCTAAGATACAGTTTTAAGTATAAACACATTAAATTTTATCCCACCGTGTTAAATGATGTGTGCAAAGATGATAATATATTGTTAAGAATACAGTGTTTATTATAGCACAAAAAAACAAATTTTTACACAATCACACATAATGGCTTTGATTATATACTCAATTTTACGTCTTTTCTGCAGGGTTGTCAATCTGTGTTCTCAGAGTTTATTCTTACCTCCTAGTCAATATTTAAGTAATTTAATAATTCCTTGAATTATTCTCTTTTTTACATTATATTATAGAGTGCTAAGTTAATTTATAGCGGTTGCTTACAAAATAAACTATATTATTAGCGACCTATGATCTAGTCACCGATTTCTCTTATCTTACTATTAAGAATGTCTACTAAAATCATTTTACTAGCACTTAAAGTTCGAGGCGTAGCTGGATACAATATGGGACCAAAAGTACGAAATTATTACGAATGGATGTGGTAGGATCCATTGGGTCAAGTGAATTTTTAAATTCTGGGGCTGTGTTGACGTCCCACTGGTTACGCCTTTCTCTTATACCTATAATTATTAATACTATAATTCAATCGATACCTTCCTTCTACGCCTTTAAAAATTATCTATTGACTGATGGCTACAAGTGATAATTATTAAGCTTGTGCTTTTAATGTGAATGTTACATGTTTTAATTTAAGAAAATTTGAAGCTACGAATAAAACACAATTTGCTAATTCAGTTATTTCGTTTTATTTACTGTATCAGTAAGCTGAAGTGGCAATGGGTCGGCTACAAAGCACCAATAAGAAAGAAAGGTTTTTCAGCAGGGGCCTCGTAAAGTAAGCTAAGTGTAGGGAGCATCCTTCCATTAGTTAAGAGTGACTACCTGGTTAGAGATGCGATAAAATATGTATAGTATAAATAATTAATTTACACATATTTTAGCCACTATTTTAAAGAATCGTCACGTACAATGGCAAAGCATGGGGAGCTGCCGACCGGGGCCTTTCGAACCATAAATGCCACCTCCTCTCAACGGCCTATAAAATTAAATTATAGTCCTTTATTTTCGTAAATGTAAGCTGTTTGCGTAAAACGTAGTGACTATATTACACTCTTTGTGTTTGCATTTAATTATAAATCAATATAATAGGTGCGGGGGTAAACTTTCTAAATCAGCAGGCGTACTTCAAAAATCGAATTCTATTCGGATTTTGATTCAAACTGACTTTGTTTCGAATAAGATTTAGCGAGAATAATGTCGAGTTACGAGCAAGCGTTACCAGTGCTGTTAGCAACATCCGGATATCTCATTATCCGGTTATAATTTTAGATGTATTAAATTTTACTTCCCAGTTATTTTATTACATAAGTAGGTCAAGCTAATAAAAAAAGCGTACACGTCGCTTGCGTGATTACGAGTTGCACCTAACGAGGGATATTGAAGTCTTTTTCTGATGATTCCAATTTGAACCACCATTCGATTGTGCGCTAGTTACGATTTGGAAGTTCAAAGTTGAGAAAAAATGAGGTTAAATAACTAGATTCGGAATTCGATTCTATCAGTAGTAGATTGGCTTGAAAGAACGTCAGTTAGAATTGTATTCGGGAGTAAACCTGATTAGCGAATGTTAATGTAAATTATGCCACTTGATGGTGACCAACCAGTCTCATTGCAACGGAAGACTGAGACTTGAGGATCACATTACTGTGTAGAATTATCATAAGATATTGATGAATTTTCCTTCTGATTGTGTTAACTGTGCTTATTATTTTTGCAACCTTGTCTACAGGTATACTTAGGACAAGCTTTATTTCGACATTGTCGCTACCCTTCTTTTTTATAGAATAAGGGTGACAAACGAACACACAGTCCACCTGATGATAAGTGGATGATGTGGCCCATGGACATGTACACTTATCCTCGATTAAGAATTGCAGATGCGTTGTCACCGCTCGTTTCTATTAAAAAGGGTCTCTGGTTCTTTACACTCACTTAAGCTCACCCATAATATAGTTGCAGCGTGGCTCTACCACGTAACAATCATGTGCTCCGTGGCTAATCAGAGCAGCATAAGGGGAGACCAGAGGGTGAATCGCGCGTAATAGAATGGAATATCCATAAGCGAGGCTCACAAGGAAACTGAGTCCTTTATACGCATGCATGCTGGATTTAAGCAGTGGGTGATGTGTGGTGATCAGTAGTATACCGTAGAATGTGAGAAAGCAGGCGAGTTTCCAAGTCTAGGCTAAAATGGTGCTAAGAACATCAGGACCGAATAAAAATAGCGGCTTTAGATCTGTAAACATTATTTGTGTACTTAATCTTGGAAAACGTTTGCACACAAAAGTAAGTACTTAGTAGTAACAAAAACAGAAAACAATCCACTAGCAAATTTATGCAAATTATCAAATTGTACCAATGAAAGACTTATAAAATTCCAGCAAAGATCAATTTTCATATTTGTTCTTAATCATATCACTGCACTGTAATTCAATAATTTCTATTTGGTCTTCCAGAGTCAGTGTTTCAATGTCAGAATCAAAAGGATTTCGAAAAAGCTTAATTTCATTCGCAATGACATCAAAGTCTGAGAAACGAGTATAAAAATTTATCTTTAAAGCACTCAAAGTTTCGATTGCAAAATCGACGGGAAATTCAGTCACTCTCTGTAGTGTGTCTGTAGTGTTTAACATGTGTGAAACATTTGAAAATGTGTGAAACAACAAAAGGGCGATGGTTCTCATTCAAAGAAATTACGATCTCCGCTTCGAACTAAGCCAGCGTATGGCAGTATGATACGGTAAGCCATTTTCTCCAATCTCTTTAATTAACTCTCGGAATTGTCGGTGATTCAGCCCAGTGGATCTGAGGAAGCTAACAACTGATATTACTGGTTTTAGAACTTCAGACATATCCAAACATTTTCCGCACAAGGACTGTTGATGAACGATGTAAGACTAATGGTTTTGAAACCACCATCATTTTCTACAGCCTTTGACACAAGTGCAACCACTCCTTTATATTTACCACATATATTTTGCCTCCATCAGTTGTGATAGATTTCAAGTTTTTCCATCGAATGTTCTTTTTGTTAATGGCATTTTCAACTCCCTTAAAAATACCTGCCCCAGTTGTCATGCCGTAAACACTATCAATATCAAGAAGTTCTTCATACACTTCATAAATGCGAATAAAAATCAACACTTGAACAGTATCTGACACATCCGTTGACTCATCCAAAACTAGAGAAAACAACTTAATATGTCCATATTTAACCGATAGTTGGGATATATGAGCCACGGTGTTTGCTGACAAACTGACACTTAAATAAATTTACTTTTTCGGGGCATATTTCTTCGGCTACTGCAATCAAGAATTCTTTTATCATTTCTCCATCGGTGAATGGTTTTCCACGTTTTCCGATTTCAAGAGCCACACGAAGGCTGGCGCACGTTGCAGACTCTTGTTCAGTATTAGCTTTGGTAAACAAAGATTGCTGCGATTTCAGTCCGCGCTTCAAATTTTTCCGTCCGCAAACTTCTTGTATATTTGAAGTCATTTTGAAGATGTTGGTCTTGGCACGATCTTTCTCCGGGCATATCCGACTAGCCATCCCATCGGACTATGAGAGTGAGGGAATAGAGTGCACTTGTGCTTGAGCGCACACTTGGACACTATTTAATATCGTCCTGCTCAGATGGCTAGTCTCCGTTGAGACTGGCCGCCGTGACCGGAATTAGGTCTGCAGGACATTATTATTACTGCATGATAACCAGTTATACGTGGTAGAGTCATGCTGCAGTTATATTAGCAGAATAGTTGTAGCACGAATGAGTCGGCTTGAATGGGAAGGACCACGCTCTCATAGAATACCAGCGTGAAATAGTAGCTTAATGCTGCTGTGTTTCGTATGGTGAGTGTAGAGAATCGGAGACCTTTTTTACTGGAAACGAGGCATTCCATCTTAGTCCTCACGGGTGACAACGCATCTGCATTTTGATTTGTAATCGAGTATAGATGTAGATGTCTATGGGCTGCAGCAACCACTTACCGTCAGGTTGACTGTGTCCTCGTTTGTCAAACTATCTTATAAAAAAAAGTTCAGTTTCAGTGTCGAGCCTACCGTAAATACAAGCCGCAAAACGCCTTTTTTTACTCGGCTTGTGCCTTAGTAGTGACCTACACCGTTCATCAGAAAATCATTAGCATACTTCACTGCGCGCGCCAATCCAATAGAGGGCGGTGGACGGGGTCAATTTCAGATTGCTCCAATGCAGAGCCACACAGTTACAGCAGTCAGTAGGTACATGGACGTCATATTGTTAATGTATGTATCAATTTAATTATATGTACGCGACATGGTCTTGCAGACTGAGTGCGTCGGTCTGCAGCCTGTCAAGGCTAACAAGGTTTTGTGACGATTTTGTGCCGACGATGGGGCTATAGGATTTGTCCATGGTTTTTAAGGCAGGTACAAAGTGTCCTTACAATGTACCATCGGTATGGCTAAATGGTGTGCCTTTAGTGATGATCAGTCAATTTAAGTACCCGAAGCATATAATCTGATCTGATAAGACATGAGTGAGAGGGAGTAAAAATTACGCTTTTTAGAGCTTCTGTACATCAATCTACGCTTGAAACCTATGGGCGGACCACACAAAGGGAAGCTACAACGACCTCCGCATTCTGTAAGTAACGCGTTCAGGGTGATTTCTGTCGATTTCGGGCATGTTTGCTGAGGTGCGCACCACTTACTTCCTCGCAACCATGCACAAACGAGGAGGCGTTCTTCGTGCGATCCAACCCTAATGTCATAATGAAAATGATAGCCGACGGATTGGACTGCACTGTCTATCGGCATTGATCAGACAGACACGTTAAGGGAGACCGGGGATGGTTGACCAATTTTCAGTAAAGACGCTTGTATTTTCATTTTTTTAGTGTACACTATCGTAAAACCATTACATATGATAGGTAAGCTTTTGATAACAAATAAAAAAAATGTTTGCCATCAATTATGATGTAGGGAACAAGCTTCATTTTGCAGAACACGAAATACTAGCCCCATGCCCGGGGTTCGTTGACTTTTCACGAGGGGTAAGTTGACCTATGAGATAATTAGTATCTACATATTATAGGAATAAATAGGATAATAAACATAAAAAAGTATTTGTAGTTATAATTTTTTTATTGAAACGAAATTTTTAATCCTGAAAATTTAAATAAACATAAAATTGTAATATGTATATACATAATAAACTTAAATTAGGATAAACAATCATAAATTTTAAGATTTGTCAACTAAATACTTAAAACTCAACTTGCAGTACAGTACACTGATCACTGAATTTATTTCAACCATTGAGTTATACAAAACATGATAAATCAATCTTTCAAACTATAAAATTTTGTGCACTCTAAACAAAATGTATCATCCTAATCACCTTTGCCTCTTCGTCATTATTTCTCTCATAAACAGTTTTTTTTTCCTTTTTGTTTTCCATTAGATACCCATTTAAATTTTTCTTCCATTATCTTTGATTTCTTTGTTTAACTGTTTAGCGTCTTACAGGATTGTTATTTATTTTGAGTTCCTTAATATTTTCTTTTTCAGGTGTATTTGTATAAATAGTGCAAATTTTCGTGTTTCATAGGGAGTGTGAAACGGTAATAAATACCTGTCAGTTACCGTTTTATGGTGTTTTTCTGATGCCAATTATTTCTCTTCAATAAATATTTTTCTATTTTTAGTGTACGGCGCTCTCTCTAGTCAAATTCAAATTTAAAGTAAAATTTAGATCTCATCATTTCCGGATTACTTTCTAATTTTTTTTTTAATTTTTACCACGTTGCGTTGAAGTATTTTGTATGGTATATAAAAATTTTTTGCTGTAGAATTAATTCTCTATCGGAGGCATCTTTGGGTGTACTTCCCCGATAAGTCTTTCTTTTGTATGTTCACATGGTTCTGTAACAACTTGCATTTGATAAACTGAAAAAAACCCACATTATTCCATGTTAAGTATACCCAGACTACTGTGGGGTAAGTTGACTAGGTGGTCAATTATTCCCGAAATAAGTTGGTCTACCAGCCCCGGGTCAATTTTTAATTTTTAACCACATGATATAGCCTCAAAACTGGGACTAATTAAAAAAGAATTATACCTAAGAAAAATATTAAAAATCAAACTTCTATTTTAAATGACTTGAAAGTAACTAACAACGAGTATTTAAGCGTTAATACAAACAATATTATGAGGAAACACATCCCACACGATTTGTATTTCGATAATATGCTTCTTCTCCCGAACGACGTGCCTTCGCGATACCACGTTTCCGGTACCTGAGCGGGGGAATAAAACGGTTTCTCGCATTTAGTTGAATGAGGCAACACTTTCGAGTAGAATCGACTTATTGACAATAAGTCAACCTGCTCCTGTAGTCAACCGTCCCGGTCTCCCCTACACCAGCTATATCGGCAAAAGCATGGAGTATCACTCCATAGGCGAAAGGTAATGAATATCTATCAATGACTTTCAATTTTTATTTTTTATTTATTTCTTTATTTGCTTATAATTACAATAATAAATGTATTTGTCTTATAATGTAAGACTTTTAGGTACTGTTCTATATTTTAATAAATGGCGCCATATTCCGTCGGTGGCCACTAAAGTATTCTGCTTTAGCCTGTGTATAACTTTAAATAACTATTTCATTAACGCAACAAATCAGATAAATTATAAAATAAAAAATACAACTGACATGAAAGTACCTCAATCTATTTTTCTAACTCCTATAAATGAAAATATTATCAAAAAAAAAATAATAATAATGTCTTTAAATAACACAAAATCTGATGGTTATGATTCCATATGTACTAAAATAATTAAATATTGTAAGAATGAAATAAGTGAAATATTAGCATTCCTGATTAATCTCTCACTAGAGTTAGGGGTTTTTCCTGAAAAATTAAAACTTACTATAGTAAAACCGTTACACAAGAAGGAGATAAAAGTGATATAACCAACTATCGATCAATTGCACTAGTCCCAGTCCTTTCAAAAATATTCGAAAAGGTTATGCATTACCAACTTACTTCCTTTTTTAGTAAATTTAATGTAATAAAATAAAATCAACATGGTTTCCAAAAAAATAAATCCACAGCACATGCTGCATTCACATTAGTAAAGGAAGTATTGCAAAATGTAAATGAAAGAAACTATACAACAGTACTATTTATTGACATGTCTAAAGCCTTCGATCGCATCTCACATGATCAACTACTGACCAAACTAGAGGCTAATGGAATAAGGGGACCTGCTCTGCTCTGCCTCTGTTGGATAGAAAGCTATTTAAAAAAATAGGTATCAGTGTGTAGAAATAACACAGTTAAATTCTAAAAACATAGCTCAGGTGTATAGATCCGAATTCAAAAATAATAATGTTGGTGTTCCCCAAGGTAGTGTACTCGGACCATTGTTGTTTATTTTATACATAAATGATTTACCTGACATCTCAAACTATAAAACTACTTTATTTGCAGATGACATATCGATGACGATAACGACTAGTAAAAAAAACACTAGATCAACATAAAACGGACATTATAAATACAATTAATTCAGTAAATAAATGGCTTAATAAAAATAATCAACATATTAATTTAAGTAAAACAAATATCATTAATTTTAATAACTTAAGCTCCGACATTAATATTGAATATAATGGACAACTTCTGCAGTACGCTACTAGTACATCATTTTTAAGTTTAATTATAGACTCGAACCTGAATTGGAAAGAACAAAGAAGAAAAAATTAACAGATTTGTGTACGCGTTACATAAATTGACAAAAATAGCAAACAAAAATACAGCGGTCACAGCGTATTTCGCATAGTGTAGAATCTGTTATCAGATACGGACTTTTAATTTGGGGTAATGGCACAGACTCTCAAAAAGTATTTTTAGCACAAAAACGCTGTATTAGAGCTATTAGTAACATCCCATCAGACACATCATGCAAGCCTTACTTTAAGAGTTTAAACATACTTCCTTTTCCCTGCCTCTATATATTTGAGGTAGGCAAATTTGTAATGCAAAACAAGCACTTATTCTTACAAACTAAAGACGCAACAAAAATAAATTTACGGAACCCACACAAATTAGTACTTGACACAATTCCAAAAAGTAAGCGCTTTCAAAAAAATAGCTACGCAATGTGTAACGCGATATATAACAAAATACCCTCACATATTAAGCAATTACCTTATAATAAGTTTAAAATGTCCCTTCGACGATGGCTAGTAGATAAAGCGTTTTATACAGTAAATGAGTTTTTGAATTGTGAAAAGTGACTAAGTAGTTTTATCGTTAATTAAAAATCGATGCATTAATTTATATATATGAATTTATTTATTTATAAAGATTGTAAATGACGTTTTAGTTTGTTTATATAGATGAAATTTAGTAATTGATTTTATTATAAAAACTTTTGAATATTTACATGCTGTTGAAAACAGCTAAATAGGTTTTCTTAACACAATAACAGTATAACATCAATAAGAAAACATTTTGTACCTATTTAGTTGCAAATAAAGAATTTGTATTTGTGTACTGTGTGTACGTGAGTGAACTAAATCGAGTGGTTGTCTTAATGTGCCACCGTTCTAAAGATTTTATAATAAAATAAAGAATTACAATATGTATTCATAGTTTTTCTATTTCAAGTTTCAACTACACCAACACTAAATAAAACTAATTTTACTAAGTACCTAATCCTAATCCCGAGACATAATGGTAATGCAAATTGCAAACTACTTTAATACAAAATACCTACGTTCAATTTAAAGCATTTTAAGCAAGTTATGTATGTAAAACGCCTTCATCTTTCAGGAGTAATTTCAAACGTGATAAAAACTATATACTTAGATTATTTTTATTTATAGTCTGTTCGCTTTGATATGGTCGCTAGTGTTGCGTCGCCTTGGTAAGTGCCAAAGACACCGCTGCGACATCACAGGTGCGCGTACACCCGCAGGAGAATTTGGCATTTTAAAACGAATTACCGCAGTGTATGGTTCTTTGCTACCTAACTTGTGTTTATTATTTATATTCGTATTTTATTACATTAACCATAAGAATAAATATTCTTCGAATAGAAAAACATTTATTTAATTGATAGAATCAGGCGTTACTTTGAGAAAATTCATTATAATAAAGATATTAATAGTTACTTTGCAACCATCCGCTAAAATACGTAAAATGATGTCTTCCCTGGTTTCGCCTCTACACGAGACGAAATTTCGCCTCGTATAGAGGCGAAACACGTCGTATTATCGTCGATGGTGTGTCTTGCTTAGAATATTGGTGTTGGGAGTAGTGGTGCTGGGATTGGTGGTGACGGAATTGGTGCACGCAATTGAGGAAGGGAGGTGCTCTTCAAACTAGGGAAGACACAACATTTTATTTAATTTAGCGGATGGTTGCAAAGTAACAATTAATATCTTTATTAAACATTTATTTAACAAACACAATAAAAATAATAGCAAACTAATAAAGTGCGCCTCTGGTTGTACCGAAACTATCTTAGTTAATATAACAGATCATAGTTAATAACAGACTATAATGGATATGCTGAAATGTCATTAGTTAAATAAACAAAAATCACTATGGTAAATTTTTTAATAAATTACAATTATTTTGTAAGTATTTCAGCACCATCGTCAGTGATCAGCACCGTATGCTCCACTTGTGCAGTTCGAGCTCCATCTTCTGTAACAACGGTCCATCCATCTTCTAGTAACACAGTGTTTTCATTACCATGCGAAAGTACTGGTTCTATAGTGAAAGTCATTCCAGGCTTCATAAGGCCAGGATATCGATTTACTGAAATAAGAAAATTTAGTTTTAGATATATTGTAGCTCTGCACTGGAGGAAAATTATATGTAATCACACTAGGCCTGAGTAACTCCACAAAAGTTAATGAGTTGACGCAGGAAGTTAGTCGCAGGTTTCTGTGTTCCGTGTAGGTTGTAGTATTAGGTTGCCATAACATATTTTGTATGATCAACCAAACCTGAGATTCTTCTGTCAGTTATTTCAATTTTACACTTAGATGAAGTTATGGCAAGGGATATTGTCTAATCTCCACTATATGTTATACAATGTGGTACAGATAGGAATACGGATATCAGTAACCTCAACTTGTCTACTGTCCCTTGAAAAGTACAGATTGCAAAAAATACATACCTAACTTTTTTCTACATCATTTGACAAGGTCTTAGTATTACAAAATCTATTGCAGTATTAATTGGTTTTAAAAATTATTTGTAATGAGTATGAAAACTGGCAAAGGCAAAATGTTTGAAGCTGATAATAAAAACTTTAGTTTTATTAAAAACATAATATTATGTTTATAATAAAACTAATGTTCTTATAGTTATTTATGATAAAACTATTATTTCATAAAACATCTGTTTTTCCTGTTATAAAACAGTCAGTGGAATATTTTAGATAGCTAAATAAATCTATGTTCTATTTTTATAAGGGAAGACAGCAGTGATGATGAAGATGATGATGATTACTCTAAGAAATTATACAATAATAAACAGTTTTAAACCTAGTTTGAGGTAAAATTTAAACATTTTAGTTTGAGATATTAAATTGATGGTTCTACATAATGATTTCTTATATTTACGCGAACACTATACATGATTAAAACTACTTTTTACGGATTTTATCGCGTTTATTTTTACTTTTTATTTACTTTTATTTTTAATTCCCGACGTTTCGGGCGCTTTCCAGCACCCATGGTCACGGGTCAGGGGTAGGACAGTTCCATATATTAACAGATTTGACGTCATTTTTTCGAAATGCGACATCTGTTATCGCCATCCAAAATAATGAGTTACTTTATGTCACCGCAGATGGCGTTACGATCGACGCAAATATAATTTATGACTGAAAAATAATGTAAAAATATTAATTCCGTTACGTATCATTTTAGTATAATTATATGTAAATATTTGTGTAGATTACAAGCTGCGTAATAATTACGATAGCAACACTGTGAACGATTTTTAATGATTGTCAAATGTCAAATAGTCACGTCATCACAAATATGGCGACTGCTCCTTGCGTTTGCGCGTGTTTGTAGTTTTCGTCCCATCTTTGTGCTTTTCTTCGTGAAATTAATCCGCCGATCCACGTTGAGTTGAGTCCTATCCTCCGTAGTGAAGTGTAAGAATTTTCCGAAGTTATAGTGTGAGTTGAGCTGTTCCTCCGTCATTCTAGTGCAATCGTTTTTTTGCGACCCGGACGCTTCGTTTGTGCTGTTTCTTTGCGATATAGACGCTTGTGATTTGTTTTTATCATGCCTAAACGGTGTGCATTGGGATGTTCAAACAGTAAGTATAATCATCATTATATCTCTGCCATCTTGCCTCCATAGAATTCCACAGTGCCTTGTCAACTTCAACTTACAACTTACATAAAATTACAGCCTATATACGTCCCACTGCTGGGCACAGGTACCCCCGCTTCTTAGATGGTTTTAGGGCAAGGAAGTGTTCGCCGTGTTACCCCGTTGCAGGTTAGCGAATTTCTCGTTTCTCCGAAATATTTTTTCTTATTTCTCAGATATGCAGCTTTCCTCAGGATGTTTTCCTTCACCGCCGAGCATGTGGTAAATCAACACTTAAAATTGCAACTATGAATTTCATTGGTGCCAGCAGGGACCCAACCTGATTTGCTTGCATAATGTGAAGTTTACAGCGAGCGCTAACCATCTGAACCACCGTGGCTTACATTCTTGTCCTAAATGATAGATAAATAGAATAAGATTTACATTATAGATGGACCATTGCAGTTATCTGTGTTTATATTTGTAGGTACTTATTAAAATTATACCTTTCCCTCTCCCGGTTGATGGACATAAGCCATTAGAAATGTTTGACAGAAATAAGTATGAATATAGCCTTAACTTACAAACCAGTCTTAAATGCTCTCACATTTAGTTTAATACATGATATATCTAATCTACAAAAGTATTCTATTGCAACTAACATATTAGTAAAAATTATAACACTGCATTACATGCACTACTTTAATTAATGCATTTCAAGGTAATTATACAAGCAAAGTGTAAAATATTTTTCATTAATAGCTACATCAAAGAATAATGTGATAGCAACATTACAAAATAGTTATAGCAATATTAAATTTTTGTAAAATGGCATAAATAACAAAATCAATGAGGATTGGAGTAGCCATGGAATTACAATTCTGTAATAAAGAACTTGTATACTCATGTATTACAAAACAATTTTTGCATTCAGGACATTTCTTAACTAAGTACACTTACATAATCTTTATTTTTAATCTGTGAGATTAGTTGAAATATTAATAGGGCAACATAAAAGGTGATACTGAAAGTTCTTAGAAAATCAAAAACTGAATAAACTAGCAAGTTATTAGTTTTATTATATCTTTCCAAAATGGTGTCTATTTACATCAATACATTGCTGCATCCAATGGAATCACCGAGAAAAGCACTTTGCTTACTTGCCCTTAGCGTTCTCTTAGACATTTTGAAATGCAGCCATTGCTTCCTCGGTGTCCATTAAACATTTTCTTCAAAGTTTTTCTTTTGTTTTCGGAAATAAATAAACATCGCAAAGTGCGAGGTCGGTGCTATAGGGAGGGTGACCCAGTAATTCCACGTCTGATGTTGCCAAGTAGTCGATTGTTTGCTTGGCGGTGTGAGACGAGGCGTTTTCGTTGTGAAGTAAGATCCTACTGTGAGGTTATTTCTCCCGAACATTTTCCAAGACAAGTAGCAAACAATTGTTAGTGAACCACTCTGCAGTAACTGTTTTACAATTCTCTGAAACAATTGTTGCATAATGACCTGTCCTTCCGAAGAACGAGGTCACCATCTTATTTCCCACGCTTCAACCTCTCTTCACTTTAATTGACATTTCCTTGGAAGGAAAAACCAAGACAGCAGACTGTCTCTTAGTTTCAGGATCATAACAATAAATCCAGCTTTCGTCACCTGTAAGTATGTCAAACACAGCATTTGTGTAACCTCAGTTAAATCTTTAAACCATTTACAAAGGTAAATATCATAGTAAAGTATTCGTCTAGATCTAAATTAGTTAAAACAATGAAAATTAGTAAACTATCAACTTACTGATGAAATGTTATGCCTTTATTAGTTGAATTACACATCCTTGATGAGTTTTTACAACTGATTATGCTGCAGTTCACCATTATAAATTTATAGTAACATAAATTCACGGACGACGTTCCCCGCGCAACTTAATCACAAAATGGTGAATGATGTTCGTCAACACATCATAGCAGCGACAAGGTCACGCGTCTATGCGACTTCTTTTGTCTTATTACTTAATACGTGTATTACAACATTTTTAATACACACATACACTACACACAGTTCTAATCCTCTTCCCCTCTATGTGACAGCCCTATTGTTTTTTCTTGACATATTATCTACGTGTGTACAAAAATATCATATCTCTCAAACTTTTAGTCTTTTTGAGATAAAAATAGGCTCCTTCGGAAGGCAACAATATTGTCTATTGTTTCCATTGCCAAAAAATTTACTTTACGTAGTAGAGTCATGTTGCAGTTATATTAGAGTATAGTTGTAGCATGAATGGCTCAGCTCGACTGGGGAAGGACCATACTCTCACAGAATACCAGCGTAAAATAGTAACTGACTGCTGCTGTGTTTTGTGTGGTGAGCGTTGAGAACCGGATACCCTATTTACTGGTAATGAGACATTACATCTTAGTCCTCACAGCTAACAATGCGTCTGCATTTTGATTCGTAGTTGAGGATAGATGTAGATGTCTCTTGGCCACAACAACCACTTACCATCAGGTGGACTGTGTGCTCGTTTGTCTCCCTATCCTATTAAAAAAATGGGTTCACATATTCATTCACATATCCAAAAATTATGCAAATCAAATTTTTTACAGATAATTATCAGCAGCAGGAGTGGCCGTCATTCTGGTTGAACCAGCTTAAAACAACAAGAAGAAAAATTAAAGTTTTGCAATCAAACTTGATCAGATCACAAAAGAAAAACAAAACCTTTCAATCCAGAATAGCCAATGCTGAAAAAATGTCTACAGATATTTTATTTAAAAAACTGACGAACAAAATGACCGTAGCAGCAAAAATTTTCACAAAAATGCAGTACACCCAGACAAGCAAGAGGCCTCATGGTCGCAGATTCTCTCTCGAAGAAAAAGTGCTCTCGCTTTCTTTATATAAAAAGAGTCCAAGAAGCTACCCTCTTTTGGCAAAATATTTCACATTGCCTTCAACTAAATCATTAAAAAGACTTTTGACCAAAATAGAAGTGAAGCCGGGCCTTAATAAATGCATATTTATGAAAATTAAAAATACCGTCAAGGAGCTATGTACAGAAGACCGCTTATGCAGCTTAATTTTCGATGAAATGTCAATATCCCCTCAAATCCATTATAACGCTGCTAAAGACCAGCTTAGAGGGTTCACATTTGATGGCAAAAAAATTGCTGACCATGTATTGGTCTTCATGGTGAAGGGGTTAAAAAAGAAATTTAAGCAACCCATTGCGTATTATTTCTCCAACTCAGTGAATAAACCTCAATTAAAAGAAATGTTACAAAAAGTTATTAAGTATGTATATAGTACTGGGTTAAAGGTCATATGTACTGTCTGTGATCAAAGTACAGTCAATGTAAGTGTAATAAATGACTTGGTAGAAGATACAAGAAAAAAATATTTAAGAGAAGAAAAGGAATTTAGGTATGAAATCATTGAAATAGGAAAAACAAAAGTAATCCCTCTATTTGATGTTCCACATTTACTAAAAGGAGTCCGAAACAATTTACTCACGAAAGATTTAAAATACTATGATTTTGAAGAAAAGTGCGAAAAAATCATCAAATGGGATTACTATAAGCAAACTTATGAAGCTGATAAGTCGTATGGAGAGGTGAGGTGCCTACTAAAAGTCACAGATGAGCACATCTATGTCGATAAAATTAGAAAAATGAAAGTGAAAACAGCAGCCCAAATTTTCAGTCACACGGTAGCTGCGACTGCAGGACATCTGGTGGCAAGAGGAGACATTCCGGTAGAATGCCAAAATGTGGTAAAATTTACAAAATTAATAGACAATCTTTTTGATTCTTTAAATTCTAACACATTTCATGTGCCTGATGGCAAAATATATAAAGGATGTGTTAGACGATCTAGTCCACACCATGATTTGTGGAAGAATGCCATAAAAGTTTTGAAAACTGTAACATTTATTAAAAAAAATTAAAGACAAAAATAACAAAATCCGTTTGATTGAAACAAAAGCTATACCATCTATAAAAAACTTCATACGTACAATTAAAGGAATGCAACAATTATGGATATTGCTGTCCCAAACATATTCATTTGATGCTATGCTAACACGTAATTTCAACCAGGACCCACTAGAGAATTTCTTTGGGAATATCAGAAGTTATGGGGCGAGAAATACTGCACCAGACACGGTTGCGTTTGAAGGGGCCTTTAAGTCCCTTTTAATTAATAATTTTAACTCGCCCCATTCTCTGCATGCAAACTGCGAAAAAGACGACGATAGCTGCTTGCAGAATCTAGATTTTTTTGTAAGAGAAAATATCGCGTCAACTTCTGATATTCCTAGTCCCATTTATGAGGAAACACTACAATTTTCTGAAAGCATAGAAGACGAAATTGTAGTGCCTTTCATCAATTTAAATACCAGTATAAATGATGCTGGTCAGGGCAATTATGTGTGTGGGTGGGTCCTTGGGAAATGCATAAAAAATGTTTCAAAAAGCTGCAAAGTATGTAAAAAAGATATGTATGGCAGACCTGAAAGCAAATCCAATGATTATATACGGGCAAAAGAATATAAAAAAGGTAAACATTCTTTAATATACCCATCTGAAGGAATGGAAAAATGTTTTGTCCAAATTCAAAATTTAGTGACAGACATACTAAAAAAAGATGTTCCAAAAATGGGTTTAAAAAGTAAAATAAAAATGTTTACCGACATATTTGTTGACTTTCCATTTAGTTGTGAAAAACATCAAAAAATATTACGAAATTATTTTGAAAACACAATTATTCATGTGCTTATATATAGTTGGTGCCGTTCAATAAACCGGATTTTGTCTGGTAAAATCAAATACCATGGTGAGGATGAAACTAAAGCAGCAGCCCAAGCTTATAATAATAAACACAAGGTAAATAAATAAATAATATTGTAAAATAAAAGTTGTTTTTTTTTTGTTTATCCAATAACCTTTTGAAATTGATGCGTCCTTACTAATTGGCTTGTTTTTAATTTGATAAAGTTTTACTAAGATTTTGTTAAATAAAGTCAAGTAAAACTTTATCAACTTGAATACAAGTAAATAAGTAAGGATGAAGGAAAAGCTACTATTGCCTATATAGTACCTATAGCCAGCTATAGCTATAGATGTTAAGTTTATGGATGGCGATAATAGATGGCGCTATTTATCACATCAATTGACATTTGCGGTTTTCAATAAATTCCACGAGTGGGTTCTCTATGTACGATATATTACTTTCCTGCTATGGTCACGGGGGACTGAGATGACTGACGTCCCGATGTCATTGTTAAACCCGGAGTACCTTCAGCTTTTTTTAATTATTGTTTATGGTCCGATCTATTGATGGTTTTGTTGAAAATAAATATTTTTCATAATATCTATTTTGTTCACCCTATATAACCGGTTTAATAACAAATAATTAATTTATTTTATAACACAACCTTTTTTACACAAAATTCCCTGGCTCCTGAACTAGTAAAACTGTGTTTCAGAAACCAGTTCCTCCCCTTAAAGTTAGCCTAGTCAAAACAAAAGGTCAATTTTTCTATAACAATTTGAAAATTATTAGCTAGTTAAACAGCTTCAGAAATATAAATAAGAAATAAAAAAGAAAAAAGGTATTTTAAGCGCTTGTTTTTTGTGTGTGTGCGCGCGTGCGTGTGTGTTACGCTTATACGTGTAATGGACACGTGTAAGCGTTACGTGTGGTCAAGCCACATTCTGATCCATGGAGGTTAGAGAACAGGAGAACGATCACTAGGTACTAAAGCATAGCCCGCCTGTCCTTGAAAATTGTAGAGTTTATAGCGGCGCTGACGTCGGTGAGTAGTGACTGCGAAGTTAGCTGTTTATGAGTACAAGTCGATGAAGTTAGTCGAATAATGTACAAATTTTCTCCGCAGCGTTGGTGAGAAAATTTTCATGCTCCGTAAATTTGTAATTTTTGACAAAAATATACATTAAAAAAAATTGAGAAATATTTTATTGTGCGTGGATGTGCAAGTGGTTTAGCATCTGATCGGAAAAATATACTGAAAATGACTTTTATTGACTGAACTTAGCGATCGCAGCGCTTCACTTATGGCTCGCGTCCCCCCAGAAAGCCCAATCGAGCTAGGTGTATTTTCAATATATCAGAATTTAGAGCAAAAATGGAGCACCTCTACAGTCAAGTAAATAAATTGGAGCATTAATACGAACGACGCTGCGAGCTAAAAACCGTGGGCTTGCTGGCGTCCTGTCCCGTCAGCACGCCCAAGCTAGATCTCGGGAACCGTTGAGAGTACTATCGTGTATTGTGGTTCAAATTTTCGAGTAAAATTGGAGCACTCTACTCCCGTGAAATCAACTTCGAAACTAGAATGTGAAAGGAATTAGACGTGATTAACGGGTGGGCTTGCTGGCGTCCTGTCCCGTCAGCAAGCCCACGCAGATCTCTGAAACAGTAATGATTTGGATTATGATTAAAAACTCTACAGATGAGCCCTATTTAGAACACTCTGCTCCAAAAAAAATATTAATGTAGCTTCAATAGTACTCGAGTTACAGGCCTTTGAAAACGTGCTTGCTGGCGTCGCGTCCCGTCAGCAAGCCCATTTGGAGCGTGGAAACTACTGAACGGAGAGTCGTCAAAAATATCAATAAAAAAAATATGTTTAAAAATATTATGTTTGTTTTTCAACTTGTATATTATCAAAAAATATAATAACTAAAAATGCAAAAACTAGAATATATTCAAAGCTTACATGTATGAAATATATCGGGAGGACCATGAAAATATTGGCCAATACCATGACCTACAAAAGCAGGTAAGACAGTGAGTCTATTCCTCTTTGCATGTCTGTAAATTGTTGTACCAATTTCACAAAATGGTACATTAGGTCCACAACACTTAATAGCCTGAAATAAAGAAAAGACATAAAATACTGTACAATAACACAATGTTAATTTTGATATTTATACTTACAAGGTTTAGACACTCTTCTGTGACACTTACAAGGTGTTTACCTTTGTCATCTACATTACCAACAAAAAAGGTTTTTGAACAATCACCATGATAATGCTTGAAAAACACCTGAAAGATAATAATGTTTAAATATTAAACACTTTTAAACATAATTAAGAAATAAAAACCCGACTGAAATTAAAGAATAGTGTCAACCCATTTAAAAAAATTCTTGTCCTACAAATTTTTTAAGAATAATTTGTTGTTTTCCCTGAATTACCCATATTTGCTATACTTAGCACGTGGAGTTAAAACAAAAAAAAATCTGATGTCAGTTATATTTAAAAATTGGTGTCATTCCCTTAAACATTCTTATCCTACAAATATTTTATAAATATTTTGATCACATGAACAAAAGTCTGGATTATTAATATTGACTATACTTATCATGTGTAGATACAACAAATCTGCCTATTCCATATTTATAGCTGTGTATTTAACAAAAAGTTTATTTAGAATGTTATGTGATAACTTTGTTGATTGTGAGGCAGTTTTAATTATTCCTTTTTATTAAATAGGTTATACCTCAAAGGTTGTCTCATATAAATTTGAAGAAAAAATCCCATCCTTAAGTACTTGGCCAGACTGCAAACGTGGGTGCGGGTGGTTTTATTCCGAGTGTTGTCAAGTCCAGTGTTTGTCAAAATAGAATACGGATGAAGAAGACTTTTTTACTGGATGGTTCTTTCTTTAAATGGCAAACTCTACAAGTGAATAATGGAATTAATGGAATCAATTTACCCATAGAAAACGAAGGAGAATTTAACACAGTGTATGTAAAATTGCGAGTGCAAAATCAAAAGTTCTTTTGGATATACAAGAATATTAATTGATATGTTTGAATATTTATTATAAAACAGAAAATTTTCTAATAAAATAAATTCTTGTACATTAATTTCGGAAGACGCTATTACAACGCGCGCGGTTAGCTCGAAGTGGTTTGAGATCCCTACTTCTCGCACCGATTGCCGCCCGCGCAATTACTGCGGCTGCTTGTATGAACAAGCTATGGCGTGAGTTGCCCGCGCTATCCTAGCGTCTCCTAGCCCGCGCCCGCATGCCCACTGTGGACACTCAAATGAAGACTTTATGTTTGAGTATGTCGCGCCGCACCCATCTCGCGCCCGCTTTTTCAGTTGCACTGAGAGAAGAAAATGAAAATAAAGTACTATTCAGATAACATACTAGTTATTACCTGACTACCTGAGTTCATGATATTATTTTTAATGTATTCAAGGGCTAGGGCTAAAAAACTAAACTTTTAATAAAAAGTAAAGAAGTAGAAGCTGTGTTCAGTTTTCTATACACTATGCCTTAGTACCATCTTCTAAAACAATTATTGGATAGTTATTTACGTTTTTAGTTTTTTGAAGTACACATGTACCTTTACATTTTATTGAAGATTTAATTTTAATAATTTAGTTTCCTTTTATATTATCATATCATCAATGCCTTTTTACTGCCTATACTTATTATTTTTTAAGTATTTACAAAAAAAAAAACAACCTTACTGTTATGTCCACATTAATGATATCTCCGTCTAGTAATGGTCTGAGATCTGGTATGCCATGAACAGCCACATTATTCACTGAGGTACAAACACTTTTTGGAAATCCTTTATAATGGAGTGGTGATGGGTATGCACCAGCCTCTACAATTAAGGTGTGAATGAATTCATCTATATCATCAGTTGTAACACCAGGCTGTAAAGTAAAAAAAAAATATATTTTAATAAACATACTGCAAAATAATTGTTTTAAATTGTCAACACTTATTTTTATTTTATGATATCATAATTATTTCTTATCACAATATTGTAGAAAAAAAAGACACATACAATGTCTACGAGATAAAAAAACTAATACGCTAGCTATCTAAACCTCATCATATTGGAGAATACAAAATTATAATTCTGTCATATTATATCAAATATATAGGTATACATTGCTTGAAGAAAAAACTCTGTGCTTACCTTAATAAATGTATGTAAACTGTTTAAAATTGAAGCTGCTAAACTACAACTTTCCTTCATTCCTTTTATCTGAACATTGTCTTTTATTTCGGGTGCTTTTGGCATTTTATTGAAACTATTTAATGTCACATATTCAGGTTTTAAAATATGATCCGGAACTGTCCTACTAGGTGTCGTTTCATTAGGAAGGACTTTATCATAAACACCAAATCTCATCCTTAAATTCAAAGTACTTTATAATACTATTGAGATTGATATTGAAAATGAAAGGAGTTTCTACACTGTAAGGAAGCTAAATTGTTTTAGATTGTAATTTTACATTAACTTTTTTAAAAGTGAAGTGAAGTAGAATGTGAATGATATATAAAGATATTTAATGATAAAATTAAAGACATAGCTATCATATAAAAAGGAATACATAGACGATTTGCTATGTAGTAGTGATGTAAGAATATTCACTATCCCATAACATCCCATGGGTGTTGTAAGAGGTGATGAAGGGAAACTGAAGCAGAACAGAGGCAGCAGCATTCATCACGAAGATGACATCTGAAAATTATAAAAAACTGTGGTTGACAACCCGCTTGGTAAGCTTGGGAACTATGGTAAAATCCCTCGTATAAGGCAATCAATGGGCGAGACCTATATTCAGCAGTAGACTTTTTGGGTTGTAGTGATGATGGGGAACACAGATGGAAATTAAATAAAACAGATGAGACAACAAAAAGTCATGATTCACTACTGTTATGAAATACTTACTCTTAAAATAACCATTTCAATTTAGTTTAGTTGGGTATTATCTAGGTAATATTACAAAAAACTACATTAGTATAGACACAGATAACTTATTTTTCACAATTATATAAAGATTCAGTATGTAAAAAACACTCCGTTGTTCATTGAAATTTTAAAAAGATTGTTGTTTGTTGCAAAGTAAAGGGACTAAGAGAAAACTTACAAAATTCTTCTTTGTACCCGTGGATTTAATGTCCTAGGAAGCCGCATCTTTCGTTTATACTAATAAAATATAAATATTGTTTGAATGGATTAAATTTTAATACTGTGGACTGTGTCAATTGTCTCTGAATAGGTGATGTTTTATACAAAAGCTATACCTAAGCTATCTGTTTTAAAGGTAAATTCTCTTGCAATAAGCAACAACAATAATTGTTAGGTAATCATTGACTTATATATTTGCTAATCAAATATATGCGACTTGTGCAGCTTACACATTAGTCCTCCACATGCGGCCTACAGCAGCGATAATTTTATTGCCTAACTCCATAGTTAAATATTTTCATAAAATTTGGTTCTAAAGCTGACCCTCGTTAGAATTTTTAATAAAGCCTTATGTTTTTAACTTTTCAAATCATCTAACCAATTATAGTCACAGAACACATATATACCGATAGGAGTAATAGTGTTTGTGTATATACACAGAACACATACATAGGGGTGATCATAAATTGTACTGCAAGCTATACACTTAGAGTGGGTGATTATAGTCAACCAAATCTGAAATACATTTTGACAGCTGTCAGACTTTTGGTACCAAGTACCAACCATACCAACCAAAAAATAGGATTATACAATATTCGATTCTCAAATAATCGATATAGATTATATAGAGTTGGTAATCATTTACAGTTTGGTTTGAATAAAACCAAAATAAATTAAAAACGCATAATTTAAAACACAAGATTTATCAGTTTCTTTGTATTTGTTGTTACTGTTGCTTTCTAGAAGCACAGTTATAAACATTTAAGATTGCAACAAGATTAAAAATAAACTTATTCAATCACTTTCAGTACAACTAGTTGAGCTGGCGTTGTTTAGATTTATTATTATATTTCATCGCTTCATTTTTCAGATATAGTTATTCACCAGGTAGTCCCCTTAACCTACAGGTGACTTTGCATGCATTAAAAGACACTCAACTGACTAAACTAAGTTGGCTGTGAACCGACTTACCCCTACCACCGCTGACTCGGGGACGGAGTGAGTCGCCATTCTGAGCTCATTCCTTTTTCGTGCACAGTGACGACAGCACGCGTCTCCCAATAAGTTTACACTTTATTCTTGCCCCTTTTTTTTGTAAAGTATTTATAATGCCAAAACGAAGTGCGGAAGAAAAAATAGAGCGTTACGAACGCAAAATTAGAAAATTACGTGAACGCGATGTCGCACGACATCGCCGAATACGGGTCATATCATCACAATCTTCCAATAATGAAGGTAAGCATATTTATTTTTGTATAATAACGATTCACTCCGAGTTAAGATTACGTAACATTTGTTTCGTTAGCACGTGTTGTTTTTTACACGTGTTATCAGCTTTTATCAGAACAGGCCGTGAGCCTTGTTTGTTGAAAAAATTACCATCAGGACAGGCCGTGAGCCTCGTTCGTTGAAACAAAATTTAGAAGTTAGAGCACCAGGAAATGTCAACTGCGATTCAAAAGCTGATTGACTTAGGTGCCATAACAGAATGTCTTCCAAGTAGAGACCAGTTTGTCTCTAAAATATTCCTTGCCTTCAAGACAAACGGCGGCAAGCGTTTAATATTAAATTTGAAATCGTTAAATAAATGTTTCAAAGTTTCATTTCAAGATGGAAGATTATCGAACAGCGGCAAAGTTAATACCCCAATACGGATACTTAGCCACAATTGATCTGAAAGAAGCCTACTTACTAATTCCCATTCATGCTGAACAGAAAGTATCTAAGATTTCAATTTAAGAGAAACAATCGGACCACGACCTACGAGTTTACGTCAATGCCCTATGGGCTGTCAGTGGCTCCCAGGGTATTTACTAAGATTATGAAAGAAATCTTAACTCACTTGAGAAGCGCGGGCTTTAATTCAGTAATTTATCTAGATGATATTCTCTGCATCGGCAACACTTATGAGGATTGCAGATCTAACGTAAATGAAACCTTGAAACTATTGCAATGTCTAGGTTTCGTTATAAATTTTGATAAAAGCTCTCTCCAACCCAAGCAAAGTTGTAAATTCTTAGGTTTTCTCTTTTGCACTAAGAATCTAACCATTTCTCTCCCAGATAATAGACTTAAAACAGTATTGCGCAATTAGTTCAGAAGTTTATTTGTCTACCCACATGCACTATTCGAGAATTTGCTCAATTAATTGGTGTTCTAACTGCAGCTGTCCAATACGGTTGGTTATAAACCAAGTTATTGGAACGTCAAAAATAACTCGCGCTACTTGAAAATCAGAATTATGAGAGTAAAATCAATTTACCTAGTATTATCCTTGAAGATCTTACTTGGTGGACCAATAACATCAAAACAACATTACATCCACTGCGAAACGCCGGCTATAAAATTGAAATCTACACAGATGCTTCACGAACCGGATGGGGCGCAGTGCGCAATGAAGAACGCGCTCGCGGAGGGTGGTCAGTTAGCGAACGCAATTACCATATAAATTATCTGGAACTATTGGCAATTTTTTTTGGACTCAAAAGCTTGGCATCTAAAGAAACTAATTGCGCGATACTATTACGGGTAGATAACACTACAGCCATTAGTTATGTAAATCGCATGGGTGGGGTACAATTCCCCCCACTTAAACGGGATCGCTTGACAAATTTGGCAATGGTGTGAGAAGCGAAAAATTTGGATCTACGCGTCATACGTCAATACTAAAGAAAACTGGGCTGACGCTGAATCTAGAATTATAAACCCTGACACCGAATGGGAACTCTCCTCTTCCAGTTTTCAAACCATTGTCTCTTTTTGGTCAGCCAAATATCGACTTATTCGCCTCCCGTACTAATGCCAAATGCACAAACTTTGTTTCTTGGAGACCGGATCCAGATGCAATGTCAATGATGTTATTTTTACGCATTCCCCCATTTTCCAGAATATTAAATTGTTTAAGGAAAATAATGGATGACAGGGCTCACGGAATCCTTGTTTTTCCTTATTGGCCTTCACAGCCCTGGTTCCCTTACTACAAGGGTTATTAGCATCTGATATTCTGTTCTTGCGCCCTAACAAGAATCTTTTACGATCACATTCCAGGGAACACCACCCTTTACACGCGAGCCTTACCTTCGGTGCCGCGAGGCTCTCCGGCAAGCTTTCACCCGAAGATGCCCACCAGAGGCCCTCAACCTCATGCTAGCATCGCTCTCCGATAGCACGGTAAAACAGTATAATGTTACCTATAAAGCATGGTGGCGGTTTTGTGACAACAGAAATATTAATCCATTTCAACCATCTATATCTCCTTTTTTATCCTTCTTGACTGACCAGTTTAATGCCGGTTGTTCTTACGGAAGTCTCAATTCGTATAGATCAGCGCTATCATTACTTCTCGGAAATAATATTGGTTTCGACGAACATGTAAGTCGATTGCTAAAAGGAGCTTATAAATTAAGGCCGAACATTCCAAAATATACACAGACCTGGGACCCTCAAAGTGTTTTAAATCACGTTGCAGGGTGGCATCCCAATACGACTTTAAATCTGGAAAAAATTACAAAGAAATTAGCAATTTTATTAGCCCTCTGTACAGCCCATAGAGTACAAACGCTATCATTAATTAAGTTGGAAAATATATCATTTTCTCACAATAACGCTAAGATCATAATTACTGATCTAATAAAGACTTCCACCCCAGGCCGAGAGCAACCTGTACTCCTGATACCATTTTTCTTAGAAAATGTGAATATTTGCCCAGCTACCGTTCTAAAAGATTATATTTCTGTCACAGAAAGTAAAAGAACGGAAAACATAGGCAAACTGTTCCTCACTTACAAGCCACATAGACATAGACCAGCCACGACGCAATCAATCAGTCGATGGATTAAACAAGTGCTCTCGGAAAGCGGCGTGGATACGTCAACATTTGGCGCCCACAGCACTCGCCACGCCTCTACCTCAGCTGCGGGCCGCGCGGGCCTCAGCGTTGATGTCATCCGTAAAGCTGCCGGATGGACTCCTACATCGAATACTTTTGCGCGATTTTACAATAGAACCCTTGTTGATGAGGGGAACTTTGCAAGATCCGCTTGCTTTATGTCCAATCACTAGTTTAAGATTTTCTCTGTATTCATAAATACAAAAACTAATTGTTCAAATTATCGTGATTACATAACGTTTCATGTACCGATCGGTAACTAATCAATATATTCTAAGAAATATATATTATTTTATTACAACGAAAAACTTCCTGCTCTAAAATTCTA